ATTTATTGGCATGAAACTCTTCATTACATTCCCTTGTTTTATTCTGTAGAAACTGTGAGATGTTCCCCATGGCATGACACATGTCCTGAGCCTCCTCCTCAGTCTCCTTAGCTGTTCACAAGACCTACACAGACACAGATCTGTTCATCTCTAATGCAGGTCTGTTTTTATTTTGTTCATTTCTCACTACTTCTTCATTCCCTCTACATCCTTTGTATTTAGCTAACTGTTCTCACTTCTGTGACAGATGTTTGCTGAGGACTTTCGAGCTTCTTCCCATTTCTAAAATATGCATTTAAGCTGCCACTGTCACCACTTCAGTCTCTCCAAAACTGCAGCATCAGGTCACCAAACAGAACCTGAGTCACAGCTCAGGTCACCATGCGGAGCCTGGGTCGCAGCTCAGGTCACCGAGCAGAACCTGGGTCGCGGCTCAGGTCACCATGCAGAGCCTGGGTGATTGTACTGAGCCCTGGTCACAGTGCATCCTTCACTCTCTTCCCTTGTTTCTCTTGGTCTTATGGCCCATTGAGTTGGTATATCATTTATGTCCACTATGTGTCTCTAATTAGCTAGGACCTGACCACAACCCTGCACCCATCTTACACCTGGGGCTTTAGTTCATCCTTTCTACCGGCCATGCCTGCTTTGTTTCTCTTTTTCTCCTCTCTTGCCTCTTTTGGGGTTATTTTTATTATTCCATTTTCCCCTTTGTAACCTGAAGTAGTACATTTCTGTTATTTTCATGAAGGCCCTCAAAATTACATGAGTCTGTAATTTACCCACACACACGGTCAACACTGCCCCTCTGGGCAACAGGAGGCCTGAGAGCACAACTCCGCTGAGGCCGGGTTGTATGCTGTTGGGTATTTAGTTCTACTTGTAGGACCTGACAAGAAGTTGTTCAGTGCTCCCCATCCCTTCATGTGACAGTCTCCTGGCTTCATTCCTCCCCGTCTGGAGTACAGCAGGGCATTCCCCAGGCCGAAGCCGTGCATCCAGGTCTCCTTCAGAGCAACTCTTGACACAACTGACAATGTCTTCTTTCACCTTACTCTGGACAGTTTCCTTCTTTCACACACCAAGTGGATTGTCCTGCTGTGTCTCCAGGGAGATGTCAGCTCAGGACCCTCAGAAGGTAACCTGCATTTTGTTTCCTCAGACCGCTTTTTAATTCTCTTGTGCTCAGGGTTTTGCGCTTCCAAGTCATTATGTTCCAGCCTGAATGTTCATGTTTCTGCTTGAAAAGGCACTGGGCCTCTTGAGTCCTCTTAATTGCTCCAGTTTCAGTAAGTCCTTGGCCATTCTCACCAGATACCACCCTGTCCCCACCTCTGGGCCCTCGTGAAGATGGAGGCATCCTCTCTGCCCAGGTTTCATGCCCTCTCTGTTTCCCATGTGTCTCCTGCCCCAGGCTACGCTCCAGTAATTTCTCCTGTCCTATCTTCCAGTTTGCTAATTCTGTTCATCAGTTTCTAATATGGTTTCAAATCAATCCATTACTTAAATTTTTTCCCAGTTGTACTTGGTTTCTCCAGACTTGCTAGGTCGGTCTGTATCTCTCACTCCTTGCAGACAGTGAGATGTGCTTTGTGCTGCACACTGACTGATCTGCTGCCATCATTTTGGCAGGGCTTCAGTTTCATTTCCTCACAGAAATTGTTTGCAGGAATAATCTGAAGCAAAAGATAAAGGGACCCACAATCACACCCAACTAGAACCTCAGAATGTGACCTTATTTGGAATAAGAGTGTTTGCAGATGTGATCAAGGTGAGGATCTTGAGACAAGACCATCCTGGATTAGGTCTCATACTGTTGAGACCCCACCCCTGACCACCTGAGCAGCTCTGCTGAGACTCCACCCCAGCTCCATAGAGAGTGTGAAAGAAGCTAGGATAAATGGAGTCAAGTTGGGGACACCCATCCCTCTCTGAGGGCCAGGCCTGAGGGCCAGTGGCTGCCTCTCTGAGCACTCAACTGGTCACACATCACCACACTTGCCCCCAAGGGCAGCCAGGTGGCAGATGGACACTGCTAGATGGGGGTTGGGGGTGCAGGTGTAGGCCGGACTGAGGCCAGAGATGTCCTTGTCCCCGGGGTCCCACCCATGAACAGCCCAGCAAGGTTCAGCCCACCCTGCCCAGCAACTCTCCTCCAAGTGTCTCGTTACTTTCTGCTTGAGGCAGGGGGGGACAGGGGAGGGGGAGGACACTACAGATTTTGACAGCCCTTCCTCCTGCCAACAGGCTTGGCCATCCCAAGGGCCACCCTGCCCGCAAACTCAGCTCCCCATGTGTGGGGGGAGCCTGAGACCCTAGTTGGGCGGAGGGGAAGAGGCTGGAGTTCCAGAAGCCGCAGTGCCCTGCCAAGGAAACCTCAGCCCCACCAGACGGCATTTAATTTCTATGTGAATCAAATTCAAAACAAATTCCAGCACTGAGACACTGGTTCTGAGATTAACCCTCAATTCTCCTGCAGCCTGTGGCCTCCCACCCAGCACGTGGATGGCAGAGATAGGGTGGGCAGAGACACTGACAGGGTCCGGGGGCTTCCAAGGGCTCTACCGTCACCCAATACCCAACATGCCAAGGAGGCCAGGACAGGAGGTTGTGGACAGGAAGCCATGGGCAGAGGGCAGCCCCATGTGGACAGGCCATTCACACCGAGGTAGGGGCCTCGTGTCTATAATGGTTGTCATCTCCGTTGGCTGGGAGAGCCTCGGGACCCCGGCTTCCCCACCTCACAAGGCCCCAATATTCCAGGGCACAAAGAGCTCTTGTTCAGCCCTCAGTTCCATCACTGACCAGCCACCCAAGCAGAGCTTCTCGCCCAGGTCCAGCCACCCTAGAAGTCAGCTGGTAGACATATGACTGAGCAAACTCCAGGACACTGGGACCCACAGCACTGCCTAAGAGAAATGTCCCTGTCCACACTTGGTGGCCCCCAGAGAAAACAGAACCTGCAAACCCTGAAGACCTCGAGTTTACTGGTGGTTCCTTTCAGGAGCAGGATGCTGAAGCCCAGAGTGGAAGCTGTGGGATCCCAGCTTCACTGATGGGTGAGAGGAAAAGATGAGCAGCAGTGGCTTCATGGAGGAACCAGAGTGGCCAGACAGCCTCTGTGTCCCAGTCACCAAACCCCAGGCCTCAAAGACAGCTACAGATCCACCGGGATGTCACATGAAGAGATAAATAGACACCAGGCAGGTGCTTAGAAAGCCCCAGAGCCACCTCGATGACAGGCTTTCTTCCTGGAGCTGGCCTACCAGGTGCAGGGCACAGACAGGGTGGCCGGGCTGGAGGAAGCAGCTGTGACATGCTCTGATCTGGGAGCCGCTGGCAGCCTCTCCACACAGGCCAGACCACTTCCCTGGCCACATCTACCTCAGGTATCGCTAAGAAAAACAAACGCAGCTTGAGGCTTGCCTTTTTCCATTCCCTCGTCCGGCTGCTGGTCTCCAGGTGCAGCGCCTGCCAGCTGGGCGGCCGTGCTTCCTCCTGCGGCCAGAGGCACCAGGCCAGCAGAGAACCACTGGGAGGGGCAGGGGAGGACGCGGGCTGGTCCTCGGGTCATAGAACCCGGCGGCCTCATGCCACCCAGGTCGGGGGCTACCCTTCTGTGGCAGCCCCAGCACAGCCACCTGCCAACCAGACTGGCCCAGCCACAGACATCCCTTAGTGATTAGCCCTCTCAAGAAAGCGGGCTGGTCATCGCCCAGCCCAGGCCACCAGGCCTGCAGTACAGCCAGCCACTCTGCCCCACCCTCATCCGGCAGAGCCCCAAGCTTTCACCTCACACCTGCACCCTGGGGACTCCAGGAAGCCCTCCACCCCTTAGCACAATGCCCATGCCACTCGAAAAGTTAGCTCCTAAATATGTCCAGGTTGGTGGTCTGCTGAACCTGGCCCACCACCCATGCACCCAAAGTCAGCAGGTATGGGCACAGCAGGCAGAGGTCAGAGCCAGGGGTAGCAGAAGGCTAGCCAACCTGGTGAATGAGTACCTCAAACCCTACACTGGGCTCCTGGACCCAGAACCAGAGGGAAGGGACCACCACAGGCCTCCAGTGGAGCACAGTTGGAGGGGACTCCATGAGGGACCCTCCTGGCCTCCTCAAACATGAGCTCTGGTTACAGTAAAGAAGGATGCTACTGGGCTGTCCTCTGGCTTCCTAGAAAAGTTGACAGCTAAGGCCAACCTGGAGCATGGAGGCCCTGCTCCCCACTTCCCAGAGGCTTGTCTCCAAGTGGGGCCTGACCTTACCCACTTCCCCAGACAACTGTGCCTCCTCCTAAAGCCCCCTCCCCAACACTCACCCCCAGCCCAGTGAGAGGAGTAGGTACCACAAGGGTACCCGCCACCTGCAGGGACAATACACAAAGGGAGCTAGTAGTGCTCCCAAGCCAGGATTAAGAGGGCCCAGTGCTGGCCCCTGACAGGTGTCATTTTTCTGCGACCAGGTGATCCGAGCCAGACCCTTATCAGCTCATCACTCCTCCTGAGTCCAGGGCCCACAGCCCAAAGGGAGGAATCGTGTGTGCAGATTCTTTCCCAGGAGAAAATCTACCCACACACTTCTCCCATTGTCCTCAACATCGAGAGGCCCCTGGGCAGGCGGCAGGCAGCGGCCTTGGCTAGGGCCACCTTGGAGTCGACCCACCTGGGAGACCTCAGTCCCTCTGATGGCCTCGGGGTCCCTGGGCCATGGGTACTGGCAGAATCCCCCCTCCTTCGAAAGCTGGAAAGCAGGTCCCTCCACACACCACCCCCCATCCT